CCTTACCCCATCAGTGCCAAGGCCACCCCTAACCCATGGCACTGAGGCCTCGTCTCCACGCTGTGTGAACCCTTGCAGGGCCGGTGCCTGCAGCCCTGCCCTGGGCAGCCTGTTCCAATGCCTGAGCACCCTCTGGGGCAGGAATTGTTCCTCAGCTCCATCTAAACCTGCCCTGGTGCAGCTTGAGGCCACCCCCTGGGTGCCCACAGCTATTCCTTCTCCCCCCAAACTGGCAAACCCCTCTACAGCCATGGGGAGATGGGGTTTGCTGCTGTATCATTTCACGTGCATCTCCTCAGCCTCCTCCTCCTCTGGTCTCCCTTAAGCCACCTTTGGATGTTGCCCCATCTCCCCTCTGTGCCCCACTGCTCCCTAAAGACCCTGGAAAGCTGCAGCTGGGGAGGGCCATGCTGGGGAGGGACCCAGCTTCAGCTGCACAACAGGCACCCACAGACACGCTGCAGGCGTTTTGGGTGCTCCCCCATGGAACGTGCACCCTGGGGTGATGCCCCCTGGGCAGCAGCCTCTGCCCTGCTTTATGAATGGGAGAGGGCACAGGGGAAGCTCCGCTCCCCTTCAGGAGCCTTCTCTTCTCCAGGCTGCCCCAGCCCAGCTCTCCCAGCCTGGCTCCAGAGCAGAGCTGCTCCAGCCCTCGCAGCATCTCCATGGCCTCCTCTGGCCTCGCTCCATCAGCTCCACATCCCTCTTGTGCTGCTGCCCCTGAGCGGGACCAGGACCACAGGGGGGGTCTCCCCGGAGCGCAGTGGAGATGATGCTGAAACCTGATGCTGCATCACGAAACCCACCAAGGGAAGAAGTGTGGGTAGGGAAGGGAAATCCCCCGCCTGCTCCCACCTGTGCCCTCTCCTGCCCCCGCAGCAAAGGCACAGAGGCCACCGCAGTCCTCAGGGGCTGGAGCAGCTCCGCTTTGGGCCATGGTTGCAGACTGCAAGGTTCTGAGCCCCAGCCACCCCAGTGATGTATTTGTTTAGCCTGAAGGAACTGGAGCCGAGCCCCGTTAAAGGGACACATCCATCCCAGCTCCAAACCCCAGGCAAAACCTTGCCATCTACTCTCATCCCTTCCTCACTGGGATGGGTGGAGGGGGACTTTTCCAGCTGGCAGGGGTACATTGGCAGTCCTTTGGATGGGTTCTGCCACTTCCCTTCTCCATGGGCCAGGTTTGACAACTGCCCTCAGATCCTGCTGCCTCCACCTGTGAAGAGGTGATGGATACCCCATCTGGCATCCAGAACAGCACCTATGGGGCAAGGCTCCCATCCCTGTCCCCTGCTCTGCACCCAGCTCCCGTAGCAGCTATTTCTTTTCCTTTCCACCTTATTCCTTCCCTCTTTTCCCTCCCCTCCTTCCCTTGGGCCCCTTCTTTGTGCCTCTGCCTAGGCCACAGCTCCCTGCACCACTGGGGATCAGGCCTTTTCCCAGCAGCATCTCCTGCATCCCCCCTGCAACCCACCCAGGAGTCACCTCAGCCAACCCCAACCTTCATCCCTGCATCCTGGTGGTGGAAGACAGTCGTCCCCCCCCCCAGACCACCCCAGAGGATGCCCCTACACCTCAGGGGAGATGCTAAGATGGTTTTTGAGTGCAGAGGTGCCTTTTGTTTCCATTCAGAGGAGATTCCCCAGCACACAAACATATGAGGGTTTCCTGTTGGTAGGCGGTTGCTACCCTGGGCTGTGGGCTGCAGGATACCGTGTTGCTGCTCTGAGACACCAGCCCAAGGGCTCCCTCATGACCCCTGCTCGGTTTTGGTTGATTTTAAGGCAGTTTAAGGCAAGATTTCAGGATCGCACTGCCCAGGGGCACACAAGCATCTCCAGCCCTTGCAGTGCCATGGGGACTGAATCCTGCTGCCAAGGGAATAAAGAGCATCCTCAATCGGACATTAGGAAGACATCCTTCCCTGTGAGGGTGCTGAGGCGCTGGCACAGGGTGCCCAGAGAAGCTGTGGCTGCCCCATCCCTGGCAGTGCTCAAGGCCAGGTTGGATGGGTCCCCCCCCGAACACTGCCAGGGATGGGGCAGCCACAGCTTCTATGGGCACCTTGTGCCAGGGTGTCCCATAGCTGGTCCCTGCAGGCTGGGATGGATTTGGATCTGTGACTCCAGGCTGTCCCACAGGAGATCCCAACTGATGGCATTATAACAGTGGTGTCTATTGTGGGGTCTGCTGGGGGCCATCACCCGTAACAAACAGCACCCGAAAGGAGGATGATGAGCAAAGCTGATGATGCTTTCAAGGAGCTGCTTGCATGTGCTTGCCCTTTGATCCAGGAAGCATCCGAGCACAGGGACAAGCATCACCCTGCAGAGCTGGGAGCTGGAGGGTGCCCCACTGTGTTGCAAGGGTGGCCAGGAAGGAGTGAACACCCTTAGAGGAGAATGGGACAGCGTGGCCAAAGGGTCCATGGCTGCTGGCTGGGCTGCTTGGAGAGCACAAGCCAAGTCTTGCTCCCAGTGAGCCGGGGTTGCCTGGCTGCTGCACCATCAACAGGCTGGGGACAAAGTGTCTGAAATGGGAGAGATGGGCGGGTTTTAAAACCAGAACAACACAAAACAACCAAAAAACAGAGACTTCGGAGGCCTTTTTTCCCCTCTGTCCCTGGTGTTGTTGTTGTCCATAAGAAAATTAAACCCCCATTTCCAGCCGAGGCCACTTGTTTTAAATTTCCTGGCTAAAGTGATGTAACAGCTGTGCGTGATGCAATGCCATGTGGAATGCATCATTCAGGAAACCAACAACAAAACTGCCTTTCTGGCCAAACGCTCAGCACATCCCCTTCCCCCAGCCCCGGTTTAGGGGGTCCAGCACCCCCAAAAAGTCTGCCCTGGGCATCCGTGGTGCTACTGTGGGACCTGGAGCCTGCAGGAGGGCAGCAAGGGGCAATGGGGGGCAATGGGGAGCACAGTGGGAGGCAGGACCTGGCTCTGAGCTGCGGGTCTTTTCTTAATTAAAGCATTTCTCATCTTCTACCCCCACCACCCGGTTCTGCCCTTCCCTGGGGCCTCCCTGTGATGGCTGCAGCAGCCAAAAGGTGCTGATGGCTTCAGCCATCCCCCATGCACCCCCAACCATCGCTGGAGGGATGTGGGGGGCTCCTTTTCTAACCCCCGCATGGCTGCGAAGTCTGGCAGGGCTTTGGCTCCCCACTGCTGCAGGGAAAAATAAACCCTCTGGGATGCCCATGGCTGCCTCTCTGTCCTGTTCCACCCCTCCAGCACCACCACTGCCCTGTGCCCAGTGCCAACGCTGCTCCCTTGGGAACCCAACCTGCTTTGAAACGGGGCTGGCCAGAAAGGGAAGAAAAAGAGGAGAAAGGGAAGAAAGAGGAGAAAGGGAAAAGGGGGGGGAGGATAGGAAAGAAAACCCAAACCCAAACAAAACAAGGTTGCAGTGGGAAATCAGAAGTCAGAGCTGAGGCATTTCGGCAGCCGGGGCTGGAATGTCTGACTCACACTGTGACTAAATGCAAATATGAACTCAAACGTGCTCCTTAAAGCTGCTGGGATGCAGCACGAAGCCCCAGGCTCCCATCACGCTCCTCACCCCCGGCAAGGTGCCCTCATGGGGCAGCACCTCTGGGGGACAGCACAGAGTCATCATGGAATGGTTTGGGTTGGAAGGGACCTTAAAGCTCATCCAGCTCCAGCCCTGCCGTGGGCAGGGAAACCTCTCATCTCATCAGTCTCCCCTCTGGCAGGTTAAAGCCATTCTTGTCCCAACAGGCCCTTTTTAAAAGTCCCTTGGTTGTTGCATGTAACGCAGCCAACATCCTTCAGCTTTGCCTCCAGGGCTGCTCACTGTCCCCTTCCCAGGGTTCTTTCCCATCCCATCCCCAAACTCCAGCAGCTCCAGCCCTGGCACTGGATGAGCTTTAAGGTCCCTTCCAACCCAAACCATTCCATGATTCTTCCCAGGTGATGTTCTAAAGAACTATGGAATGAGCCCCCCTACAGTCCCCATGGGGGAAGCAGCACGCTGGGCACCACGGACATCAGCAGCTTCCCCCCCACCCAGCACCGGTGACCCGGGTACCCCATGGCACGTTACACAAGGTGCCAGGGCTTGGCCGGGCGGCACCTTTGATTCAAAGCACCCGCCGGCTGGCTTCCAAGCGCCGGCTCCAGCTTGGAAGCTAAACGGGGCGGGTAAACAGGCGGAAAGATGTGAGGATCTGGATATAACCCATGGACGCTGCAGCACGATGCCCACTGTGCTGCGGAGCCCACCGAGGCTTCGCGGCCGGTATCACGGCCCAAGGCCTCGCAGCGCTTCCCGACAGGGACGACAGGCTGCCGCGTGTCGGGGGTCGCGACTTCCCCAGCACCGTGCAGGGTGCGCGGGGACCCCCGAGGCGCCGGGCCTCGGCCCCCGTGCAGGTCCCGCAGGCCCCACGCCGGGCGGAGCCACCCCAAAGGGCAGCACCGAGGGCGTGTCCGGGTGCGGGGCAGCTGCAGCCGGGTGCTGGCTCCCGGAGCACCGGAGGACAGTGAGAAACTCCCCCATCCCGGGGCCGCCCCGCCGGGGAAGCGACGGAGGTGCGGCCGCCTACCGGCCACCGCAGCGCTCGGTGGGCGGGGACGGGAAAGGAGAGCGTTCTGATTGGTAGCGCCACTTGCCACTCGGAGCGGCGGAGACGTCCTATTGGACGATACTCTGAGACCTTATCAGTCCATCACCGGAGCTGCCGTGTCGTCACGGCTTCCTCGCCCCGCCCCTCGAGGCGCGTTTGTCAAGCCTCCTCCGCCAGAAAATATAGTCCCGCATTTCGGGGGTGCCTCCTCCCCACCCCACCCTCTGCGCTGCCACAAGGGCTCGTCCCTCCGCGGCACCAGCCGCCCGCCATTCCCTCGACTGCAGCGGGGTGTGTGTGTGTGTCAGAGAGACAGCGCCCCTCCATCACCTGCGGGCGGCGGAGGGATACTGCGATGAGGGAGGTGAGTCGCCCCTCAGGGGCGGGGCGTGAGGGCGTGAGGCGAAGGGGTGGTGCGAGGGGAGGTAGCGCCGCGTTTCGCCCCGCCGCCGCTGCCGCGGGGGGGACCATGCGGAGGCAGCGGGGCCGGCGAGCGCAGCAACAGCAGCGGGAGGCGGAGCGGCGGTAGCAGCAGCGTTAGGACCCGGGGCGGGGCGCGGGGCGGGCCGGGGCGATCGCGCCGCTTCTTCGCGATATTCTATCCGCCGGCGGTGCGAGAACAATAGGATCCGCCGCCCGCCCGCCGGCCCTGGGCGCCGCGGCCGCCGCCCCCAGCACAGCACGGCCCGGCCCGGCCCGGCCCGGCCTGCCATAAGCGCGGGACCTTCATGCGCTTCCCCTGCCCCGCACGCACGGGGGGCGCGCGCCTGCCCCGGAACAGGTAAAAAACCCCAATTAAATAAAAAACCCCACAAACATTAATTACAATAAAGTGATAAAATCCGGACGCGCTTCCCCCGGTCCCGGAGCCGCTGAGGGGATGGGACTTCACCCGCTGTTTCCCTCCCCATTCCCTTCCCGGCGGGGACTGCCCCGGGCTCGGCTCCATTGTCCCTCAGTAAAGTTTGCCGGGGCCGGGCAGCGCGGGCCCTCGGGGTACCCACACGCGATGGGGGGGGTATCTGGAAGCGTGTGTGTGGGTCTCGGACAGTGGGTCGGGGATCGGGTCTGTGTGTGTGTGCGGGTCGGTCGGTCGCCGGGCATTCAGCGAACTTCAGCTCCCCCTTCTTCCACCCCAACTCCATCCAGCTCCGGTCTGGGCGGCTGCAAAAGTTGCGGGAGCCACCGGGGGGGGTGCTCCGGGCTCCCCCCTCGGCGGGGAGCGGGGCTGCGGGATAGGGGCGGCCGCTGGGACATCTCCCCCCCCCCATCGCCTCCCTTCGCAACCCCACCTCAGCCCAGGCCGCGCTTGGAGTGGAGGGGGGGAACAAGGCGGCCGGGCCTTTGTCCGAGGCGAGAAGGTGCCGCTGGGCCCCGCTGGAGGAAACCCGAGCGGGACGGGGGGGAGAGGAGCGGCCGACATCTGCTGCGCGTTAGCCCGGCCGCGGCGGGGCCTGGCCGGGGCTTTGTGCGCCCGGGCCGGGAGGTAAAAACGAGGGGCGGGGAGTGCGTATATGTGTGTGTGTATATCGATCTGTGTGTGTATTATCGATCTATCTATATAACTACCGAACTGAATATACGGGGTGAGGAACTATTGTTGGAAGTTTAGAGAGCTCGGCACCGGCTGCCGGTCGCCCCGAGGGCTGTGCGGTGTTTGGCGGGGGTCTAACAAGGACATGGGGGTGTCCCCCGGCCGCCCAGCACCGGGGTTGGGGTTGTGTGTGAGATGCTTTAGAAGCGATTTGACTGTGGATGACACTGAAAAGAACCGAAAAATAAGATAAAATACACACACACACACATCCCGGGTGGGTTTTAGAGTGGCAAACGGGATTTCTGCACTCGGGGCGAGTTGCTGCCTTGGTTTAGGAACGTCATTGAAATGTGGTGGAGCCTGAAACCCACAAACGCTTTGGACAGCGTGGAGTTTTCTGCTTTTTCCTTAAAGCTTATGATTGAGGAGTTAAATTTATTGGCCAGCTGCTCTTTGTAGCTATGAATGAGGTCCTGAAAAGCACACCCCCCCCAAAGGAATCTTTTGTCTCATCCCAAGCCTCCCTCCCGAAGAACTATTTTTCTATCGGTGGCCCAAAAGCTCAGAATCTTCCTTTAAGAAAAAAAAAAAATAAATAAACCAAAAAGAATCAGTAAAATTAGGAAGAATATTTCCCTATCTTTCCAGGTTGCCTGGAGGGCTCTTTTTTTTTTTTGGCCAAATCCTTCCGAAAACAAACTTGTCTTTTTTCTTCCCAGTCGCTTTTGGGGGAGCAGAGAGGTTTCAGCTCTCAGCCCCCGACTTTAGCCCCTGAGCGAGCAGCTGCAGGTGCTCAGCCACCCGAAGGAAAGAGGCCCAAGATCAGACCTTTTTCTTTTGGCTTTTTAAGCAAAACTAAGCAAGGACAAGAGGAGGGGGGGGAAGGAGGAGGGAGCCGAGCCAGACAAGCGCCTGAGTGATAACTTGCCTGAACCCTTTGATAAATGAGTTGACTCTTCCCCCCCACCCCCCTTATTTCCCCCCCCCCCCCTTCATTTGCCACACGCCAGCAACAGAATTGGCCCTGAACTAGTGGAATTGGCAGCAAAAAAACTAACATCCAAGTGTGTCTGCTCAATGGAGCGCTTGTTCCTGCCTCTGGGTGCTGTGCGAGGACTCCGGCTGGCTGCTGGAGCCGCGCAAAAGGGTTTTTCTTTGCTCGCCCCTTTCTCTCTTGCTCCGTCTTTTTAAAATATTCATCAATGGGGTGGGTAGTTTGCTGTAGTCATTAAAATATCTCCTTCCCCTCCCCCTCGCTTGCTCTAGGACTGCCACTGTTGAGTCTGTGGGAGTATGAATCAGCAGCAGCAGCAGAGAATGGCTGCAGTTGGGACAGACAAAGAGCTCAGTGACCTGCTGGACTTCAGTATGGTGAGTTGGGGAGGGGGGGGGCGGCTGGAAAGGCCCCGGGGTTTGCGGGTGTGGAGTGTTTTGGAGCTGCAGAAGGGAGGAAATGTGAGCCTGTAAATTGGACATGATGGGTTTCAGATGTGCGGTGTTTGTGTGCGTGCACATGTGCTGCAACTTGTTTATTTTCAAGTTAAGGCAAAGCCTCTACCCCTCTTCTCCCCCCCCCCCATCCCTTCAAACATAGATTGTTTCCTTGCAGGGAGCAGAGAGAGGTGGGTTGGGGGTGGATTAAGTTTTGGGTTTTTTTTGTTGGTTTGGATTTTTTGGGGTTCTTTGTTTTTTTGTTTTTTTTTTTTTTTGGATGGGAAAGTCTGGAGAAATACAAGGGAGTTGTGTGTTCTCTGTTTAAATGCTCACTGCAGAATGGGCTGGCTGACTCTTTTCTGAAGCCCTGCAAAGATGCAACTTCAGTAGCTGATTAATCAAGCTTTTTTCCTCTCCCCAGTATTAAACATTTGCTCCCACAGGTTATTTTGTCACAGTTTGAAACGTGGCCAAGCTCTCCAGCACATTATTTTTGCAGGACTTGAACACTTGTGTTCCCCACACTCTGCTTTTCTCTGTCCTGGAAACCTTTAGCTGCATTTAGGAGCTGTTTATTTTCAGTGAAGGGGGACCTAAACATCCCCCCAGCAGGAAGAGCAGCTCAGAGGGAGAAGTCCCTTCTAGTCACGGCAGAGTGAGGGTTAGTCCTCGGCACATCCGTCTGTGCCGCCATCCAGGGCTGGCAATGTGCCACTCCATGTACTTTCTGCACTTGCTGCACCGGTGCTGGCTGTTGTTGGCAGGTGACTTGTGGAGGGGAGAGCTTGTGTTCAAAGGAAAATAACTTTCTGTTGCATTCCTCTGCCCTGTGCTGCGCCCTCATGGCACTTGGAGCGTGTGTCTTGCTTTTTAGATAAGCAAATGTGCTGCTAAGATAGAAAAACAGCTCCACGAGGAGCTTGCAGTCCAAACAAGCCAACTGTGTGCTGGGCTGCATCCCCAGAGCGTGAGCAGCAGGTCGAGGGAGGGGATTCGCCCCCTCTGCTGTGCTCTAGGGAGGACCTCCCCCCCGGAGTACTGCCTCCAGTTCTGGGGCAACAGCACAGGAGGGACATGGGGCTGTTGGAGCAAATCAGAGGAAGCCATGGAGATGCTGCAAGGGCTGGAGCAGCTCTGCTCTGGAGCCAGGCTGAGAGAGCTGGGCTGGGGCAGCCTGGAGAAGAGAAGGCTCCTGAAGGGGAGACCTTAGAGCAGCTCCAGTGCCTAAAGGGGCTGCAGGAAACCTGGAGAGGGGCTTGGGACAAGGGCCTGTAGGGACAGGCCAAGGGGAATGGCTTGAACCTGCCCGAGGGGAGACTGAGCTGAGCTCTTAGGCAGAAGCTCTTCCCTGTGAGGGTGCTGAGGCGCTGGCACAGGGTGCCCAGAGAAGCTGTGGCTGCCCCATCCCTGGCAGTGCTCAAGGCCAGGTTGGACACAGGGGCTTGGAGCAAGCTGCTCCAGTGGAAGGGGTCCCTGCCTGTGGGAGGGTGTTGGAGCTGGATTGGCTTTAAGGTCTCTTCCAACACAAAGCAATCTGGGTTTCTAGCAATAACCATGAGTGTCACCTCTGTGACATGGGGCTGTTCCAGCTCACCCAGACGATGGCCCTGCTGGGGTGATTTTTTTGCCCCTTGGAGAAGAAGAGAGTAAAGGGGGAAAGTGGTGTCAGAATGAGGGGCAGCTGCTGTCCTGGTACCTCTTATTCCTGTGGCAAGTGCCCCACCTGTGCACTCAGGATTAGCAATGGGATATAAACACTTTTATACAGTTGGGGCTTGTATCTGTCCTCTTGGGACTCCGTTCTGGGTACAGGGGGTCTCATTCCCCCAAAGAACAGTTCTGCAGGGGGAGAGGCCCTTTTCTCCCAGTTTCATGCTCTTGTTGAGGGGCTGGTTTTGTTAAATGACCAGTGATGTATTTTCACAGGAGTACATTTTATAGTTAGTAGGGGGACTGCAATGCCCACATATGTTTAAAGGCAGGAATCTGTTCAGTGCTCACTGTGGAGCACTGGTCGTGGTTATTTGTCCTTCTCTCATCTCAGAGGTCCTGAGCTTTGGAGAAGCGCTGGAGCTTTCCATCTCCTGCACCTGAGAGCAGCAGGTTTTGAACTGTGCTTTGGGTCAGTAACCCATCAGCTGCTCTCTAGCCATGGCTGAAGTGGCTCCTGCTTTGCTTTTTCTCCCCCCCCTTAGAAAGAAATCAAATCCCACTCAGTGTTCAGAGCTTAAAAAACACGAGACCTTCCTTTCAAATTTAACAAACCATCCTCATTTGCATGCTCAGAGCTGTATTCCCTGGAGATTCCCTGACCTGCTCTCTTTGTACACAAATGTTTTTGTTCTTGGAGATGAATCTACACCGAGTGGGCTGAATTTGGGTTCAAGTCCAGTGCTGTGACACTGCTGTAACCCTGGGAATGACCAGAGCCTGGTCTGTGTCCGTGTCTGTTGGTGCATTCAGCAGCAGTACTGGGGGCAGCTGCTCGCAGGATCAGGGCCTGCAAATGTCATTTGCCAGCAAATGATTCGAAGCCATTCCCTCCAGAATACGTTGGCCAATGGGCTCCAAAGCAGTCTGGATTTGAGCCAGGTCTGTTTCACAAACCCTCATCTCTGCACACCCTTCTCCTGAGTTTGCATAAAGGGAATATTAACATTTCTCCTGAAGGATGAGTAGCTGAAGCAGAAAGCTTCCTAGCTAGATGGTCTTCATCCTGGCATCACAAGCTCGCTGTGCTCTGTGTGGGGCTGTCAAAGAGACTGTGCTATGGATTGCTCTCCCTCTTGGCTTTGTGACCACAAAGCTTGCTCATTCGAGTATAATTATAGTTTTATTTGAATAGGATAGGTTTGAATAGCCAGATTTAAAAAACAAAAAACAGAAAACCCAGAGTTTGGTATTAGAATAGGCAGGTTGGACCAACCTGCTCTAGTGGAAGGTGTCCCTGCCCATGGCAGGGGGTTGGAACTGGATGAACTTTAAGATCCCTTCTAACCCAAACCAAACTGTGATTCTATGAATAAGCAGGAGTGGAACATCAGCCCATTAATCCTCAACAGGAGAAGAGATGGAAGCAAAGGCTAGACAGAGATTTGCAGCAGGTGGAAGCGTTTGCTTCAGATCAGTATTTTGAATTCAATGGAAAATGTGTTCAACCCCAGTAACCTGAGGTCCAGCTCTGCGCTAGGCTTTGCTGTGCACTGAGTGAATTTTAAGGTCTGTCCCTAATGGAGTAGCAGAGTCAGGTGGGAGTTTGCAGGGTCAGTAAATGGCAGGGTTGTGTGAGATGCTGTAAATTGGGCCTTACAGTCCTGAAAAAGAAAGACTCGTGCCTTCTGTAATAAATAAATACCTCGGGTAGTTATTGATCTGCAAAATGCTTGCCCAAAGCTTTGTGCTTAATGTAATTTAGCACTAAGAGTGAAAAATCAAAGGAATCTGTAAGGTGCACCTAGGTGAGCCAGAGGCAACCACCCAGCTCTGCAGTCTAATGGCTGCTTTGGGGTGTGCACAGCAGCGTGCTTGTGTCTACCTCAGAACAAATTGCCCTTTATAATTGCCCCAAAGTACAGGTAATTTATAAGCTTTCTTTCACCACTGCTTCCTGGCAGTGGTCCAGGATGGGCTTGCAAATCTGGAGGAGAGCTTTCGAGAAAGCATCCTGCCTATAGATTGGGGTTGCCAGCTTAACCTGTTCATTAGGCTTGGGTTTTGGTGCGTTACTCTTTGCCCTGTGGTTGCTCGGCTTTGCAGCTCAAGCCCAGTGGGCACAGGCTGCATGTGGCTAGAGCTGCCCTTGGCCTGTGCTGTCAGGAGGTGCTCAGCTGTGAGGACTCATGCTGTGGTCACCTGCACCAGTCCTGCATCCAGCTCTGGGGCAACAGCACGGAGGCCATGGAGATGCTGCGAGGGCTGCAGCAGCTCTGCTCTGGAGCCAGGCTGAGAGAGCTGGGCTGGGGCAGCCTGGAGAAGAGAAGGCTCCTGAAGGGGAGACCTGAGAGCAGCTCCAGTGCCTAAAGGGGCTGCAGGAAACCTGGAGAGGGGCTTGGGACAAGGGTCTGTAGGGACAGGCCAAGGGGAATGGCTTGAACCTGCCCGAAGGGAGACTGAGCTGAGCTCTTAGACAGAAGCTCTTCCCTATGAGGGTGCTGAGGCGCTGACACAGGGTACCCAGAGAAGCTGTGGCTGCCCCATCCCTGGCAGTGCTCAAGGCCAGGTTGGACACAGGGGTTGGAGCAAGCTGCTTCAGTAGAAGGGATCCCTGCCCGTGGCAGGGGTTGGAGCTGGATACACTTTAAGGTCCCTTCCAACCCAAAGCAGTCTGTGCTTTTTATGACTCGCTGTGGTTATCCTGTGCATCATCCCGACTGTTCCATGCCGCCAGCGTTGGTGTGCTGTGGGAAGGTGCAGGCAGGTATCCCGGCTGGGCTGGTGTGTTTGTAGGGCAGGGGCACTCCATGCCGTGGGGAGAGCCAGGATGGAGGAGCCAGGAGGCACACAGACAGGGCTGGGGTCCTGTCCATGCCGCAGAGCATGCCTGCCAAGCTGCATAGAGGCAGGCGGCTGCGTGCCAGCCTGGGTCTCTGGCAGAAGTGAAATGCTGTTAACAGCCATGATTATTAGCAGAGTATTAACCATATGCTGTGGGGATGCTGGTTGTCAGGGTGGGTTCCTAGCTCGACGAGTTGTTGCAGGGTGGGCAGGGGCTTGAGCAGTCACACAGGACCTGCCGTCTGATGTCTCTGCAAGCGGCTGCTCTCACTGCGTGCCAGCCCTCGTGGCTGCAGCCAGTGAACTGAGGGTGAAAGCCAAGCTGTTACCGGCTTGAGCAAGCTCCTTCTGCCCGTGCCACTGCTGCTCCTGACGTGCTGGAGAATGCTGAAGCCCTGCCCCATGATAAAACTCACTGTCGTTTAGTGTGAAGCAGTCGTGAAGTTTGACCTCACACCGCAGTGGATGTTTGGGGCTGTAGCCAGGAAGGTCCGTCCTAAATGAACATGTATGAAGTAGCCTGTTGGCAATGTTGATTGAGTCACATTCCCTCCTCTCCCCATATTAAGAGCTGGATACTTCCCATGCTGCAAAATGGATTTCAGGTTTTGAGTTGAGGCTGGAGGTTGGTCCAGGTTGGAGTTCATGAGGTGGAAGAGTGGGCAAAGTGGAAAGAGATGTTTTCACATTTGAAAGCACTGAGGCACTGGTAGAACTGCACAGTAAACAAGATGCTCCTTGGGATTGTCACCTGTGCCTGGCAAATTCCCTTTCTTCCTTATGAGCTTCCTGTTGGAAGCATGGGGTCTCAGCTGTAACCTCCCTAGTGACAGACTTTTGGATCTTCCTATGCACTGGATTTGCATCTCTTAGCCTGGGAGAAATGGAGGGAGAAGAAATTCTTTTGGGAAGGGTGGAAACTGAGGTACGAGGGTCTGCAGAAGGTGTCAGCTGTCAGGGAGGCTGGAGATGGGACTTGAGGAACCAAATACATCACCTTAAGATGGGGGATTTTACATAACCCTTTAAATCTCCATTATTCAAATCCAACAAAGGCCAAGTAATGACCCAATTACAGCTCTTCAGACGCTTATGCCTGGGTCCCTCCTCAACGCCTGGGTCCCCCTGTGCCAGCTCCAGTTCCTCCCCTCCTCCCCCTCCCCATGTTTCTTTTCAAAGCAGCCTTTAAAAGCAGAAAGGAAATTTGCAGTGGGTGGGTGAACTTTGCCTGCGAGTGAGGGCTCTTCGTGTATGAGTCGAGTGGGGCTCCTGCAGGCAGCACACCCTGACGGCTGCAGCCCACACCCCAGTGGAAAAACAACCTGGCAGCAACCAAAAGCCACCAAAACAGTACCTGGAGTTGGTGAGTGATGTGTGTATTGAGGGGGAACCCCGGGGCTCCCCCTCGCCCGCATCACCCTGCTGCAGCATCCCCACTTGCCTTGGTGTGGGAAGGGGTCCGTGCCTCCGCAGTGCCGAGAGCAGGAAGGGGTTGCATCAGTCTCGAAACCTGTCTTTGAGCAGGCAGAGGTGGGGAGGGAACCCCAGCAGCATCCCCAGTGTGGGGGTGTGCTGGGGATTGCCCAAGGCCTTTGGGGGGGACACACAACCCACCACCTCTTTTGCAGAAGTAAAAAACACTCATTGCACAATGGAACAAGGTTGTTCATTTGCTCCACTTGTGTTTGCTGCTCAGACCTTGGGGTTTTTTTAGCATCAGCAAGCATTTAACAGAAATGCTGTGAAAAAGAGCCAGCAGTGCTTTTCTTTTGCCTTTTTTTTTTGTTGTTGTTGCCGTTGTTGTCATCATCGTTGATTTTTGCTGCTTGGTACCATTATGTTCATGCATCTCATTCTTACCCCGCTTGCATGTGCAGAAATGCCTCTTGCTGTTGGGAAAGGGGGTTTCTAACCACTTAATTGGATCCCAGACTGGTTTGGGTTGAAGGGACCTTAAAGCTTCTCCAGCTCCACCCCCTGCCACGGGCAGGGACCCCTTCCACTGGAGCAGCTTGCTCCAAGCCCCTGTGTCCAACCTGGCCTTGAGCACTGCCAGGGATGGGGCAGCCACAGCTTCTCTGGGCACCCTGTGCCAGCGCCTCAGCACCCTCACAGGGAAGAGCTTCTGCCTAAGAGCTCAGCTCAGTCTCCCCTCGGGCAGGTTCAAGCCATTCCCCTTGGCCTGTCCCTACAGGCCCTTGTCCCAAGCCCCTCTCCAGCTTTCCTGCAGTCCCTTTAGGCACTGGAGCTGCTCTAAGGTCTCTGGGCATCCTATGCCAGCACCTCACCACCCTCATAGCACAGAACTTTTTCCCTTGGCTCTCTTCCCTACCTCAGGAGGAGGGAGTGTGCACTGGTCGGGTGGGCTCAGCCATGGAACAAGCATTTGTAGTCATTTTGGATCTGTTTGTAAAAAGCACCACCATTGCAAGGGCAGGGGATGGGGAAGGGAGGCCAGGACAAACCTGCAGCGTTGCAGAGGGAGGCAGGCTGCAAGTCTTTTGTGCTGCTGGGCTTTGGTTTTGTTTTCTAGCTCAGTTTCCTGAGGAAACATGATGTATTTGATGGTGGGGCTGCTCACCCATCCCAAGTGCCTCTGGAGCCCACCCCGGGTGGGCAACAGCCTCCTGGGGGTGCAGCAGGGGCCTCCCTATGGTGCATGTTGAGAGGCTCTGATGCAAGGCTCCCTGCAGGAAGGTGCAGGGAGAAGTGGGTTATGGCCAGGGGTGAAGCTGCAGGGGGGCTGGTGTCTGCAGGCTGGTGCTTGGTTGTTCACACTGTTTTACACCTTCTTTAGATGCCCATCTATCTCACATATACATAATGTGCCTCTGTGCATGGATCTGTGCGATCCCAAATTCGTGCTCTTGGCTTTGAATGGCACTTGGTTCTTTAACTGCTCTCTTTGCATCCCTGCCACATTTCACTGTTGTTTTTGGGGTTGGTTTTTCTTTTTCCTCCTCAGCATTTGTGAAAACAAAGCTGGGCAGACGGTTTCGCACAGAGGAATGTTTCTGACCGCAGCCAGACATCAGCTATGTCAGGGCATGAAACGCTGCCTTTCTGTAGGCTCTTGTGCCATGACATTGTTTAATCTTCAAAGCATTAAACTTTTGAGTAGCTCAGAAATTGCAAAGCTAAAAATAATAAAAATTCAAATGACTTGGTGGTAAAAGTATCTTGAGTAGTAAAAGGATATGAAAATGTTAATTCCCTAAGCGTTTTCCCACCAGTTGTTTTATTGGCTGCAGCTCCATTTGTGTAGAGAAGAATTAGTTTTCTGCAGCGTGCAGGTGCATAGAAATTTTTAAATAACAGCTTCTGAAAGCCTCCCAACATATATTCCAAATATTTATACAGGTATTTTTGAGGAAGCTCCCTGGCAGGAGGAGGTTCGTTGTGACACTAGAGCTGCAGCAGTAGAGCAAGCAAGTAGCTGCAATGACCGATACTGTAAAATACCCTGGGCTCCCTAATTGTGAGTTAAATACCTTTGCCCTTGGAGCAGCTTCTCCCACTGGAGCCCAGGGCTGTGTTGGGTCATGGCTCTGCTGGGGCCCCCAGAGCACCAGTGTTGGGAACTGCTTTGTGAGCCTGGGGGGGCTCCTTCTGCTGGGCTGCACCCCCAGAGCGTGAGCAGCAGGTGAAGGGAGGGGATTTGCCCCCTCTGCTTTGATCTGTGGAGACCCCACCCCCTGCAGCCCTGATCCAGCTCTGGGGCAGCAGCACCAGAGGGACCTGGAGCTGTTGGACTGAGTCCAGAGGAGGCCATGGGGATGCTGTGAGGGCTGGAGCAGCTCTGCTCTGGAGCCAGGCTGAGAGAGCTGGGCTGGGGCAGCCTGGAGAAGAGAAGGCTCCTGAAGGGGAGACCTTAGAGCAGCTCCAGTGCCTAAAGGGGCTGCAGGAAACCTGGAGAGGGGCTTGGGACAAGGGCCTGTAGGGACAAGCCAAGGGGAATGGCTTGAACCTGCCCGAGGGGAGACTGAGCTGAGCTCTTAGGCAGAAGCTCTTCCCTGTGAGGGTGCTGAGGCGCTGGCACAGGGGCCCAAGAACTGCTGCCCCATCCCTGGCAGTGCTCAAGGCCAGGTTGGACACAGGGGCTTGGAGCAAGCTGCTCCAGTGGAAGGGGTCCCTGCCCGTGGCAGGGGTTGGAGCTGGAGGAGCTTTAAGGTCCCTACCAACCCAAACCAGCCTGGGATTCTGTGATTCTCTCTGGAGCTGGTGTGAGGCTTCCTACACCAGGGTTGAGCATCACTGCAGTTTGTGGCTTAGTCATCTCTGGCTGTACCAGATGGAGCCCCCAGGCAGCCCATATCCTCCCTGAGCACATTGCCTGTGGTGGGCCTGGGGAATTCAGGAGACACAGGGTGAGGCCTGGACCACTGAGGGTGCTGGGCTGTTCAAGGTTAAGCTTTCCTGCGTGCTCTGGTCTCAGGGGGGTGCTGTCATTTCCTGCAGTCTTTTTGGGGAATGGAGTCGCCCTTTCTCCATGGCCCCATGGACACCTTGTAATGTGGACCATGGGGAATGAGTTAGGCAAGGAACTGTTGGTTTTGACCGCAGCGGTGCTGCCTCTTGGATGGAACCAGACACACTGTGTACACAGGAGTTCATGCACGTAGGAATGTGTGTGTATATTAGTGCACAGCTGTGCTGCTCTCCTCCTCCTGCAGCTGATCTATGTAGCAGGGACACAAGGAAAGTGTTTTGCATCGATAAAGTGGTTCTCTCCCCCCTTTCCTCCCCTCCACCTACCCACTCTGACCCCCTTTGCAGCAGCACGGTAAACCTAACATGCTGAAGTCTCTTTTCCCTTCTCTCTCATCTTCTTGTTTTTCTAGATGTTTCCTCTGCCAGTGGCTAATGGAAAAAACAGACCCACGACCCTAGCGAGCACTCAGTTTGGAGGATCAGGTACTGTCATCTGAATTGTTTTTTACTTAACACCATGTTTCTTGCAATAAATCTGCGTTGCTTCCAGAGACCCCAAAGGAGGGGTGTCTGTAGTTTTGTGTTATGTATTTTTCTGGTGGTGATCTGCTAGCATTTCTCTGGGTGATGTCCTTGTTACTGCACATGTCTGCGGGTAGGCAAAGCTGTTCTTGCTGATCTGTCTCCAGAAATCAGTACCTGGGTTGAAGGTTGTTGTGTTGCAGCAGCCTGGGAGCAGGCAGTCAGTGCTGGTCTCTGAAGCTGCTTAGATGAACGTGTCTGCAGATGTACTCCCATGGTTTTGCTGTACATCACTGAAGACGTGTTGGTAGCTGTTAATTCCTGGGGCTCAGCTGCCCAAAGGGAAACTGGTGCTGTTTGGATGTCTGCTCCACTCAACCCCACTGGGAGCTCCCTGTTGTTGGGTGGGATCTCAATGTTCCCGAAGAGACCTTTGCAGAGGCCTGGCCAGATGCCTCTAGCTTCCTGCTGTTGGGTGGGATCCTGCCATTCCCAAAGGGATCTTTGCAGAGCCTTCCTGGCCAGATGACTCCAGCCAGCATGGCTGTCCTGGGGAGGCAGGCAGCAGGGGTGGCTGGAGCTGATTCACCAGCCTCCAAGCTGGACCCCACTGTGGTTTTGGGGTGCTCTTGACCAGAGCCTCACCTATCATGCCCTGCCCCTGAAGCTGGCAGCTCCCCCTGCTCCCAGAAGTGCTGAGTGGCCCCATCTCTGCCAGCCAGGATGACAGAATCACAGACTGGCTTGGGAGGGACCTTAAAGCACATCCAGTTCCAACCCCTGCCAGGTGCAGGGGCACCTTCCACTAGATGTGGATGCTGAGGAGGGACCAGGGGTGCAAACATCAAAGGGCTTTGGCAGCAAGGAGGAGCGGGCTGGGCTGGTGATGCAGCTGTGATAGATACTCTGAAGGGCCCATGGCTTCAGGTACCCCATGGGGAGAGGCAGCACTGGTTAATTTGAGGCTGAAGCAGAGAATTCCTCAGCTGGGGAATGGCAGGATGGTGCCGTGCTCTGCCAGGCTTTTGTGTCCTAGGAAGCTGCTCTGTGCAGGGCTCGCTGTGGCCCCTGGCACGCAGGAAGTTCAGGTAATTTGCCCTTCTTGCTGGAACATGCTGATGCTTTATGGATGGTTAAGACATGACCTTCTCTACCCTGGGCTGACATAAACTGTCCAGGGTAACTCCTGGCCATGTGGAATGGCCATGCCCTCACAGCAGGATGCACCCTGGGGACCTGGGTGGGATTTCTAGATAGCAGCTTTGGTGGCACAGGATGCTGTGGGCTGCTCTCAGGGAAACCTGCAGAAGCTGGATAGGAGGAGAGTTCCCTGCCCTGCCTGATGTTTTCAGACTACACTATTTAGCTGTATGCCAAGATGGTTTTAAGCAAACATTTTTACATGGAAGGAAGCTGTTGTGTGGGTGCTGGGGGAAATTCAAGGGCAGAAAACTCTTGGGTTACCCCAGCTGGAAGCTGATCTCTCCAGTGTTTCCGTGTGTGACTTCTGCTGTTAAAATAATCCACACAATACGTGCTGCCTGCTAGGGAGAGAATAGGCATGGAGCAGCTTGCATTAATTCATTTCCTGCTTGGGGGCTGGCTTGGCTGTGGGTTCCGAGTGCTGGCCAGTGAGGAGAGGCTGAGAGCAGGGCTCTGGTGCAGCCAGCGCAGCGACCAGACCTCCCTCCGATGGCTGTGCAGCAGCCAAAATGACACAAAATCTTTCATTCTCTGTCCCTACCCCCCCTTTTTTTTCTTTCGGGTGAGTGAAAGGTGATGTTGACACCACCCTTCCTCTGGGCTGCTCTTTCTGAGTCTGGCTGCGAGCAGTTCATCAAGAGGACCAATATTATACAACTGCTCTGAAGGCAGTTGCACAATCACTGCTGTCCCAGTCTCAGGGCTCTGCGGCGGCTCTTTTCGTCCTGCCGAGGGCATCCTGGGTTAGAGATGGTTAGGCCAAGGGGGAATGGCTTGAACCTGCCCGAGGGGAGACTGAGCTGAGCTCTTAGGCAGAAGCTCTTCCCTGTGAGGGTGCTGAGGCGCTGGCACAGGGTGCCCAGAGAAGCTGTGGCTGCCCCATCCCTGGCAGTGCTCAAGGCCAGGTTGAACACAGGGGCTTGGAGCAAGCTGCTCCAGTGGAAGGGGTCCCTGCCCGTGGCAGGGGCTGGAATTGGATGAGCTTTAGGGTCCTTTCCAACCCAAACCAGGCTGGGATTCTACAAGTCTAAGCCTTTTGCTCCAGCAGCGCAGTTACCCCTTGGCCAGTCATCCTTGGCCTGCGCTTTGGAGAGCAGGGGGCATGTTTCATTTGCATGTTGGCTTTGTGACTTCTCTCTGGTCCTCAATGTTTGACAATTGTGTTTTTTGGGTGGGATGAATCACTGCAATAAGATGGTAACAACATGTGCCATGCACCGCGTGCTCTGTGTCTGTGGGGAGGATCCAAGGTGTCTAAACCACGTCCTAGATAGTGGCAAATGGTTGTTTTCATAGTTTGTTGATGCTGATTTATCTTAATTCACTAATGGACAGCAAGGTACAATCAGATACGAACCCATCCCCAGCGAGAGAGCCTGCCATCCGTCTCAGAATTTGATTTGAAGTCAAATTGTCACCAACCCTGATGTGGTCAGACAGTGAGGAGCAGATGGTCCTTGCATTTGGGGATCTGGACTTGCTGAGGCAGCGGAGTGCCTTGCAGCCGTGCTGTAATCTGGACCTGGAGATTAGCTCCCTAAATCTTCCTGCCTTGCAGGGAATGCCTAAGCTTCATCTTTAATATGTCCCATGTTTGTCAAACACTCCTGTTCAATTGGATCCTGTACCACTGATAAAAGATGGCACAGCATTTCCCCTCTGCTGCTGTCCCTGTGTCCAGAAAGGAGAAGTTGATGCTGGTTTCCCTACATCTTAGCTTGTTGGTGTGCACCACAGTGCGGGGGTTATTGTAGTGACTCCAAGGTAATGAACCAGGAAACTTGGTGTTTCTTGCTTTTACCCACCCTTGGACACATGGATTTCTAGCCTCTCACTCTTCATCTCTCTCCTCCATGGGGCTATCCTGGCACAGTATGTAGCTTTTCTCTTTTTCCCTTTTGGAGGAGCTCTTAACTTGAGGCTGTTTCCTCCCCAGTGGAAGTTAGGAGTCAAGGGACAAGACAGTGGCTGATGACCCTGGCCAAAATGCCTCACTTGCTGTGATGAAGTTCTTGCTTCCAGAGTTCAGCTGGCAAATAAGGGAGCAAAGTCTTTTCAAGCAGTGCTGCTAGAAAATGACAGTGATAAAATTGCCCCAAAGTAAACTCATTTTCAGATCCCAATTAATTATTCACAGCATCCTCGCCTGGCTTGGGCTAGAAAGGACCTCAAAGCTCCCTTAAGGTATTGAAAGGCCACAGTAGATTGCCCTGACCAAGCTGCTGGTGCTCGTGCAGGTGCTCTCTTTGCAAAGGGGAGGCCGTTTCTCGGGTCAGGAAGATTCAAAGTGTTCAAGCACGCCCTCCAGCTTTGAGATCCCTTTGCCTTACTCTTTGTCTCCTGGTTTTATTTTAAGCTCTGCCACTGTTTCCCTCACTTTTGTCCTTAAATGCACCGGGGAGGAACTGGTTCAGCTTCCCCGCCGCATGGACAATTCAGCACCTCCGCTCTGCGTTTTCTTGGCAAGGAGCAGCCCAAACAATTGCCACTAGGATGGAGCTGACGTCATGCCGACCGTGTCTGCAGCATTTATAGCACATATAGGTCACCACAGGGAAGTTGCTCTTTCTGGGGCTTTGAGCTTGCAACTTGTGTTCTCCAGCCTGAGCTGTGTCATTTGCCGCTGGTGGTTTATGTGAGCCGGGACACTCAGTGTGTGCCTATTGTCCTGCTCCTGGAAGGCAGCGGTTTCATCATCCCCTCCCCACACTGTTTGTTTATGATTTGCAGTAGCACAACATTGAAAGCCATGTCCTTCATCCCCCCCCATGTTGTAGTTAGTCATAAATGACTAAAGTGATAGAACCGAGCTCTCTCCCAGTGCACTTCATTAAACAGTGCCTCGAGCAGGAAACCGCCTGTGCTAAATTTCACATGGAAATAGCCATTTTTAATTGACATTAAGACAGGAGGAGTGGCAGGAGGCAAAGAAGTTTTCATTGTCTCTTCCCAGCCCAGGCTGTGGCATGGGGCTGTCGCCTTGTGGCTGCGGAGTTTTCAGCAGAGTCAGTGCGTTCCAGCTATGCCTTTGTTTCAGTGAATGAGCTGGGACTGAGGAGCAGGGAATTAAGCTGGTTGTGCAAGGTAAGGCATCATCCATGGTTAGCATGGAGCGTGGGACCATCTCCCCTTCCCGCTGGAAACAGTGCACGGGGCCAGGTTGGAACAGGAGCCTGGGCAGACTCCTGCTGACAGATGATTCTGCATGCAGCAGTTTTCCTTCCCTTTTGAGTAAGTGAATTCACCATTAAATACCTTTTCCTCCTTGCTTTGTGCTGAAGGGAGTTCCCTTGTTCAGGATCTCGGTGGGTTTGGAAGGGGGAGTCCCCTTTTGGTCTGTGCTGTGATTTCTACCTCTGAAATTTGCTGGGTGCTTTTGTGCTGGTGAGGATGGTGAGATGAGGCTCATTGTCGAGGGAATGGCTTTGATCGGGGGAAGCTCATAACATGCACTTGAAGCTGGGGAGGTTTTCAAAGAGTTACAAGCTGGTGCATGTAACAGACTGTAAGTTATAGCGTACCGAACAAAGTAAATGCATTCTCCCTGGAGGGAGGTGAGTCCGTGTTCCCTTTGAAAGCCTGCTTTAAACAACGTTCAGACTCGGATACCTGTGGCAACAGCACTGAAAGTAATAAATTCTCTGGAAGATGAGGTTGTCTCTTTAATTTGGGCTATGGTGAGCTGTTTGAAGAGTGAATTCTTTGGTGTGTGCACGCAAGGCTGCGTTGGGTGAGGAGGGGAGGGTCTGGGGGTGCTG